GACAGGGGAGATCCTGAGATCTCCCCTACCGGTCTCACTTTATAGGCGTGCCGCGGGGATTGTGTGCACGCCTATGACACACACACAGGCAGACAGACATATACACACAGACACACACAGGCAGACAGTCATACACACACAGACACACACACAGGCAGACAGTCACACACACAGGCAGACAGACACAGGCAGACAGTCACACACACAGGCAGACAGACACACACACACACATGCAGACAGTCACACACACAGTCAGACAGTCACACACACAGGCAGACATATACACACACACACACACACACAGACAGTCACACTCACACTGACAATCACACAGTTACCTGTGGAGTTCATTGTGGAGGCAGTGCAGTTTCTGGAGACTGTTTGTTGGGGAAGCAGGGACTCCTTCCTGCTTCCCCTGCAGCAGTTATCCGGCACCTTTAGCTCCGCCCCAACACACGGAAGCCCTGCCCCCGCCGCATGGGAATCTCCACCCCGCCGTAGGGAAGCTCCGCCCCCTGCCACAAATTTTATTTTTTATTTTTTAATTCCGGCCGGCCATGTGTGAGCTGTGATGTGTATTTGATTCAATGCTTTACTATAGGGAAGGCATAATTACCCCCAATGTCATCGGAGACAGAGCCAGCACCAAGGGACCTCAGCGCTGGAAAGAAGCAAGTGTTAAAAGGACAGACAATAACCATATGTCAGAGGGACAGTATAGCGTTAGAAATACAGTCCCAAAGAACTCATTACTCTATACTGCTTCTGATCAGGCACATCTCCCCAATGCACACATTGTCCTTATAATCTTGCGCAGCAGTGCCAACAACAAAATAAAAACACACAAACACACAAATCTTTAAGACTGGCTGCAAGTACAATGTATGGCTGGGGGGGCAGGACTTTGCATGGATCAGCTAACAGCCCTCCTGCCCAAATTAAAGAGAATACGTTTTCCTCCTTCACCTCCATTTAAACCCTAAATGAATCACTCACCCCAGTGATGCCCAATAATAGTAATGCTGCGCGACCTGAGCAAGGTATACAGTTCTCTCTGCTGGCTCACGCGGATCCAAATCCTGTCAGCTATATTATTCCCTGCATTGTATTAGACACTGCCTGTTTTATTGGCTCGTCTTTTATAATTCAAATACTATGACGTCACAGCCACCCTTAAAGTGACCATGCCATCCAGGCGACCCCATTATCAATTATTTTGGAGTCGCGGAGATGACATGGATCAATAGGAATTATTGTTAGCCTATGTAAAGCTAATTTGGGTCCTTGTTCCTTGTCCTGTCATGGTTTCTGCCCTGATACACGTTAGTGCTCATAGTAACTCTCTCTTGCTATATCTTGATATTGACATTGGCTTGTATTTGACTTTGTGTATTTTTGATAGCCTGACCTGACATATTATTCAGTTTATCCGTACTTCTATATCCTTGACATTGGCTATTCCTGACTCTTTCTTTATCTGTATTAACATTATGTTCGGCCACTCCAAGGCCCGTTTATACATCTATCTAGTACCTCTGTTTGTGGGATTCACCATTCCTGTAAGTTGGAGTACGACCGCCATGACAGATAGGTAGAGAGACCGATAGATTTGGGGGGGAGGGGGATCGGTTGCACCACTTACACTTATGGACCAAGTACACACACACACACATGGAATATAATAGCATGATCTCTCCTTTCACTCCCAGATAGCTCCCTAATACCACCACTTTAAAGTTCTTCTTTGTCCCAGTAACATAATTCTCGTTTTTATATGTGAATTCCTTTGAAATGTCCTTTGCAATTTATGATACACATCAGTCTATGTTTCCCAGTCTATATTTATAGAGGTCTTTAAATTCATAGCACATGTTAAGCCATAGAAGGTACAACTAATTATATGTACTTTATAACCAATAAAAAGCTTAATGTAACTGAGAAGTAAAGAGGATTAATAGCTAAAATGTGAATTTATGAGTGCAGTTATACTTAGAGAAACCTCATTTCTAGATAAACCTCATTAAACAAGCTGTTTGGAGAAAATGAAATCGAAGACCTGGTCAGATCTGCGGGCAGATAAGGAATAATAGTGGCTTATATAAGATACGGCAGCTGTACAAGGGTAACGGCAGAAATATGTTGGTAGATAGGTTCACATTTTATTCAAAGAAATTCAGTTGCATAGAGTGATGGTACAATAAGAGTATCAGAGAAGCGTATTTTTTTTTTTTAAATTGTAGTTTAATGTCTGGAGTAACAAGTATTTATTTTATTTAGATTTTATATATTTTTTTATATATAGAAATTAATGTATATGTGAGAGTAGAGTAACCTAAAATAACATTCAACTATATTTGAAAAATAACAAGAACAAAACAAATGTTCAGTGTTACAAAAAACTATTGCAACACACCGCTCTCCTGCAATGACTCGGTCACAGCATGATGTGTTGAACACGTTTAACATAACAGTATAAACACAATGGGATTTATTCAGTAGATGCCAAATTAGTATTGTCAATAGAGGATTAAAACCTACTTTGCAATATTTAGGCTACCAGCCAAGTAGTTACTATAGCTGTGCTGGAAAAAATTTTCTAAATCAGTTATTGTTGGCTACAATTTGCATTTTTGTTTTTCAGGTCACTGCAATTCATAGTTTAGTGTAAGAACCCCTATGTAAGTACGCCCTTCACCTGTCCCCATTTATCTATTAACATTGTTAAAGGACCACTATAGGCACCCAGACCCCTTCAGCACAATGAAGTGGTCTGGGTGCCAGGTCCTTCTAGGGTTAACCCTGCAGCTGTAAACATAGCAGTTTCAGAGAAACTGCTATGTTTCACTGAGGGTTAATCCAGCCTCTAGTGGTTGTCTCACTGATAGCCGCTAGAGGCGCTTCTCACTGTGAAAATCACAGTGAGAAGAAGCTGGACGTCCATAGGAAAGCATTTAAAGTTTTCTTTAAAAATTAAGACAAAGTAGGGACTATTTCTCTTCTGGAGGTTTCCTACG